ATTGGCCAATATATTGTGTTTTTGTGCTTTAAAAGTAAAAAAAAGTGTATTTTTTGTAAAAAAATTGCATTTGAAAAATCGCTGCGCGAGTAATATGTGACATAAAAAATTGCAGCACCCACCATTTTATTCACTAGGGTGTCTGCTTTAAAAATGTATATAATGTTTGGGGTTTAAATTAATTTCCTAGCAAAAAATACTGACATTTTTCATGTGAACAATGTTGGGAATGCAACAGCATGTACTATAATGTACTATATATAGTATTGTGTGTTAATATCACTTGACCAGTAGATGGCACTATACACTAAAGGTTACTAGTTGTGTATATGTGAAAACATGTTGGTTCCTCTCTCTCTTCAGGAAGTAATGTGTCTGTAATCTGTCTGCTGAGAAATGTGCTCTGTATGTTTGCAACTTAAGCCACACAAGTAAAGTCTGAATTCTGCTATCACTACCAGTGTCTTCTATAACACATAACCAACAAACAAAAAGTGTCAGAAAATGCTTGGTCTTCGGGAGGTTTGAAAAGTGAGTGATGTGTGGCATAAACTTCTAATGCTGGGCATAAAATACCCCCACTCCCCAAAACGATCCCTTTTTGGAAAGTAGACACCACAAACTATTTGCTGAGAGGCATGTTGAATTAATACAAGAATGTATTATTTTACCACACGTTTTTGGAAAATGACATTTTTTTTTGTACATAAAATTGTCACTTAACCACTTCCCGACCGGCTGTTGTATATAAACGGCCAGACGGTGGCAGTGCAGGGTCAGGTGGCCGTTTATAAACGGCCTCCCTGCACCCTGCTTGTGCGCAGTTCCTGGGAGCATGCAGCACCGCACACAGCGAAACACCGATCTTCGGACAATCAGTGATCACATGCAAAGTAGTAAGCAAGATGTCACTTGTGACATCATTGCTTACTACGTGTGAAATCTATGAATGATCACAGAGGTCACATGGTACAAGGCTATTCACAACAGCCTTGTACCATGTGACAAGCTGTGACCGATCACAGCTCACTCAGTACTTCTCAATGACTGCAAGAATGCAGACAGAGAGAAAGAGAAATGATTGCTTTTACATCCTATATGGGTGTAAAAGCAATCAGTGTAAAAAAAAGAAAAAAACATCTTAATCACTCCCCACAAGTAGTACAGTGTCACCATGGTGACACTGTATTGCTAGGGTGACAGTATGTAAAAAAATAATAATAATAATAATATAAAAAAATAAAATAAAAATGTAAAAAAAAAAGTTTAAAAATCATAATTTTAGTTATAAACTAATTTGGATTTTTTTTGGACTTTTTCATTTACATAGTAAAAAAATAAAAATCCCAGTGGTGAATAAATACCACCAAAATAAAGCTTTATCTGTCTAAAAAAAATGGTAAAAAATTCATTTGGGTACAGTGTTGCATGAGCGCGCAATTGTCATTCAAAGTGTGATAGCGCTGAAAGCTGAAAATTGCCCTGGTCAGGAAGGGAGTTAAAGTGTCTGGTCTGAAAGTGGTTAAATAATTTATTGCTCACACATGCCATTGGTATATGTGGAATTACTCCCCAAAATACATTCTGCTACTTCTCCTGAGTATGGGGATACCACATGTGAGAGATGTTTTGTCAGTCTAGCCAAGTACAGGACCCCAAAATCCAATGGCCACAAAAATGTTTTTGGAATTTTCAAGAAACTTGTGGAAAAAAAAAAAAATCTTCCATGGACTCAATATGCCTCTCAGCAGATAGCTTAGGGTGTCATTTGGGGGTGTTTGTACTATCCTGGTATTTTAGCACCTCAAGAAATGTGATGGGCAGTCAGAAAGTAAAATCTGTGTAAATTCCATTATCTATACCATAGTTTGAAGATGCTAGAACTTTCACACAAAGCAATCAATATACACTTATTGGGATTTTTTAACTAAACATGTAGCAGAATACATTTTGGCCTAAATTTATGATGAAATTTTAGTTTTTTGGATATTTTTTTTGACAGAAATGAGAAAATAGTTGCCAAAAAAAAAAAATGTTTTTCTCGAACTTTTTTTGTTTATAGAGTAAAAAATAAAAAGCGCACAGGTGATCAAATACCACCACAAGAAAGCTCTATTTGTGTGAAAAAAGGACACACATTTAATTTATGTATCGTATTGCATGACCGCGCAATTGTCAGTTAAACTAGTGCAGCGCTGTATAGCAAAAAAAAATGGTGTAAATTGCAGTATCTATACCATAGTTTGTAGACGCTATAACTTTCACACAAATCAAATATACACTTATTGGGATTTTGTTTACCAAAAGCATGTAGCAGAATACATTTTGGCTCAAATTTATAACTAACTTTGAGTTTTTCTATATATATTTTATAGCTGAAAGTAAAAAAAATAGTTTTTCTTCAAAATTTTTTTTTTTTTTTGTTTATAGCACGAAAAATAAAAAGCGCACAGGTGATCAAATACCACTGAAAGAAAGCTCAATTTGTGTGAAAAAAAGGATGTAAATTTCGTTTGGGTGCAGCATTGCATGACCGCGCAATTACCAGTTGAATTAGTGTAGCGCCGAGTAGCAAAAAGAGGCCTGGTCATTAAGGGGGGTAAATCCTCAGGAGGGCAAGTGGTTAAACAGCAAATGGAAGTAAGGGGGAGCTGGTTTTAAGGCCCCCCCCCGCACTCATGGGATTGTGACAGCTGAGGTGGGGCAGTTTTAAGGCCCCCCTGCCCCTTCTTTCTCCTCAGGCACCCGGGAGGTCAAGAGGTCAGATCACACCTGGTCCAGCTGTGGGAAATCTGCCCGGTAACATTCCCTGTCAGGTAGCACAAGTGTGATCTGCCCAGAGATAGGAGAGGTCAGCTGACCCTGGGAAACTTGCTGGAAGGTCACATGACCTTTAACGTAGGGTCAGCTGACCTTTTGAAACCTTCCAGAAGGGGCTTAACTCCCTATAGAAAGGGGCTCCGTGAGGGGCTCCGAGCCAGTCCTTAGACCCCTGTCTGACAGCTCCCCCCCCCTTGTCACGGCCATATTATTACGTGGTTTGGTCACCTTTCTACAAAGGGGGGCAGTTGATTTCATTGTATTTGGATATATTTTCACCCCGAGTCGTAGTGGCTGGGTTGTTGTCAATGGTTGATGTTATTGATAGTAAGTTTAACCATTAGCCGCCTGGCCAATGGCCGTTTGGCGGCTTTAAAAGCGCTGCTGCACTCCGGGTGCATGCCATTTGGTGTGCTCCCGCACATGCGCAGTTTGCGCTAATGCAGAGCGGCGCAGCAGCGCGATCTGTCACCGGCCGCGTACCTCGGACACGGCCGATGACAGATCTGAGTACCGGCCCCCGTTGCCGGTACCATGTGACCTGCTGTGACCAATCACAGCAGGTCACATGACAGTTGTATACAATGGATGGCTTCATTCATGCCATTCATTGTATACTAGTGCCTAGCTGTGAATGGTCACAGCTAATCACATGCACATGTCATGTGATTAGCTGTGACCAAATCACAGCTAAGCACAAAAAAAAAAAAAAAAGCTGAATGAATCGATTTCATTCAGGTAAATGCTTGCTTATAGCAAAGTAATTCTTTGCTATAAGCAAATTGTGTAAAAAAAAAAAAAAAAATACTGATCACTTCCCCAAAGTAGTACAATGTTACTATGGTAACATTGTACTACTTTGGTCATAGTAAAATATGAAAAAATAAAATCTTAAAAAAAATAAACAAAATGTAATAAAAAATTAAAAATAATAAAAAAAATAAAAAAAATATAAAAATATATATATATATATATTTTTTTCATACTGTCACCAGTCAGTGTCCCTGTTCACCGCCATGCCAGTTATATGATGACACTGTACTGCACTGGTGACAGTATGTAAAAAAAAAATAGTGAAAATAATTTTTTTAATTTTTTAATTTTCTGAAAAATGATGACAAAAAAAATACAACTTCAAAAAACTCGCCATGCCTCTTATGAAGTACGTCGGACTGTCTACTCTGCAAAAAGGGGTCATTTGGGGGATATCTGTACTGTTCTGACATTCTTGGACCTCAAGAAATTAGATTTGGCTGTCAGTACTTCAGGATTCATCAATATTCAGATCTATACCATAGTTTGTGAACTCTATAACTTTCCTACAAACTAAATAATACATCCTGAATTTGGGTTATTTTCACCAAAGACATGTAGCAGAATACATCTCGGCCTAAATTTATGAAGAACAATTATTTATTTGTAAACTTTTATAACAGAAACAAAGAAAAACGTGTTTTTTTTTCAAGATTTTTGGTTTTTTTTTTTGTTAATTTAGCAAAAAATAAAAACCCCAGCGGTGATTAAATACCACCAAAAGAAAGCTCTAGTTGTGTGAAGAAAATGATAAAATTTTAGTTTGGGTACAATGTTGTATGACCGCGCAATTGTCATTCAAAGTGTGAGAGCGCTGAAAACGTGAAAAATGGCCTGGCAGGAAGGTGTAAAAATTGCACGGTATTGAAATGGTTAACCACTAGCCTTCTGCGCACTAAGGCTAGCCATACATTGTACACTGTTTTTCTTGAGAATTTTGCTTTAGATTTACCAAAAACCATATGATATGAGATCAAACCTACAAAAACACTTTAAATTTTATCCAATTAGGCAGGCTCCTGCACTACATAATTGAAGGTAAATCTAAAAGAAATTAGGCAGAAGTTGGACAGAAAATTGTATAGTGTATGGCCAGCCTTATACCCCCTTCCTGCCAGGCCAATTTTCAGCTTTCAGCGCTGTCGCACTTTGACAATTGTGCGGTCAAGCAACACTGTACCCATATGAAATTTTTATCATTTTTTGTGACAGATAGAGCTTTATTTTGGTGGTATTCTGATGAGGATGCACTGGTAGGTGGCACTGATGGGCATTGACAGGCATCACTGATGAGCACTGAAAGGCAGTACTCATATATGGCACTGATATGCGGCACTTATAGGTGGCACTGATAGGTGGCACTGACTGGCACTCATAGGCGGCACTGACTGGCACTGTTAGGTGGTACTGACTGGCACTGATAGGCGGCACTGATAGGCAGCACTGACGGGCACAGATAGGCGGTACTGATGCACACTGATAGGCAGCACTGACTGGCACTGATAGGCGGCACTGATTGGCAGCACTGATAGGTGGCACTGACTGGCACTGAAAGGCAGCTCAGATGGGCACTTATATGTGGCATTGATGTGCACTGGTAGGCACTGATAAGTGGCATTGATGTGGCACTGATTGGCACTGGCAGGTGGCATGGATGAGCACTGACAGCTGGCACTGATGGACACTGACAGGTGGCACTGCTGGGGCTACACAGATCATCAGTGCTCTGATGATCAGTGTAGATGTCCCCTCTGAGTAATGCCGATTACCGGCTCTCCTCTCGAGCTTTCAGCGTGACAGCTCGTGAGGAGAGAAATGCCGATAACCGGCATTTCCCTATTTACATGTGGTCAGCTGTGATTGGACACAGCTGATCACATGACTGAGCTGACATCTTTGGCTCTTTCCGTGGATCGGTGATCTGCTGTGTCCGAGGGACATAGAGCACCGCCGATCGCCGCACTGCACGCTCCCAGAGCCACGCATGCGCGGTTAGAATGGGACAACGGCATATGACGTCCTCCCAGAAAGAGAGAACCGCCTTGCGCCCGTCATTGTACTATATGGCGGGTGGGAGGTGGTTAAATGGTTATTGATAACGTGATGTAAGGGGTCACATATTTATAGCAGTAATAAAGAGGCCGCGGCCAATTAACCTCCAATGCTGTTTGTGTTGATTTCATTCATTTCAGACATGCCGGCTACAATCCCATAATAGTACAAAGCCACTAAGTGCTCCATCTAATGACTAATCTACACGTCTTCCATATATAATAAAATAACAAACACATGACAGAGCAAAGCATGTAATATTGTCAATGTCTTAGGGAATGTGACTCCCAATGTATACACTGCAAGAACAAACTCCTAATATGCCCACCAAACACATACTGTGCATTCTCTGTATGGGGAAATGACTGGGATGACATTGCAAAGGAAAGAAAATGAACAAAGTCTTACTCAGATTATGGTATGTGGTGGTATTACATTGACACTCTCCTGATGGCGAGCATTCTTCATCTGTGGCACATTCTAACACACAGATAGGAGTAGCTGCAGAAGACACAGCAGGAAAATATCTGCTTAAAATGACATCCTACAATGATCAGACTCAGAAAGTACACTTTAGACTGATATGAAAATACTTACATGTGCAACAGGATAGGTCTTTGTTGTAGTATAGGCCCTCTGGACAGCAGGAGGTGTGATCAGGGCATGTTGTATTTTTATATGGAATACAGGACATAAAGCCATCATTACATGAACATCCATTATCAGGAAAACAGCTCCCGTAACATGGGTCAGAGTCACAAAGAGTCATATTCTCGTATTTGGCTGAAAAGAAAACAAAAAGATGTTAGAAACCAGGAGCTTTTGTAATTAGACAATTTTCAGATCAAATCACATGGCACAAAAACATCTGCAATATCACTACAACCGGCAACAGTATTACTAAAACTGCCCATAAACTTTTGCAAACAGTAGAAAAATCTTTTGTTCAACAATCGTATTAATTCCTTTGGTGATTGCAATGACTTTACAAGTCCTAATGTAAAATGTCCCTTTACCATGAGAACGCTCCCAACTGACAACTAGGAATGTGCAATTGTGTGTGTTCCTGGCTGTCAGACCCGCTGTCAATAAGAAAAATGAGTCCGAGCGTTATTGTCCAATCAACTGACGCACACCAATGATGCCAAACTTGGTCTGGGTGTCAAAAAAGTAACCACGCTCTATATATATATATATATATATATATATATATATACACAGTATATACAGGTGATACTCGAAAAATTAGAGTATCATGCAAAAGGTCATTTATTTCAGTAATGCAACTTAAAAGGTGAAACTAATATATGAGATAGACTCGTTACATGCAAAGCAAGATAGTTCAAGCCGTGATTTGTCATAATTGTGATGATTATGGCTTACAGCTCATGAAAACCCCAAATCCACAATCTCAGAAAATTAGAATATTGTGAAAAGGTGCAATATTCTAGGCTCAAAGTGTCCCACTCTAATCAGCTAATTAAGCCATAACACCTGCAAAGGGTTCCTGAGCTTTTAAATGATCTCTCAGTCTGGTTCAGTAGCAATCACAATCATGGGAAAGACTGCTGACCTGACAGTTGTGCAGAAAACCACCATTGACACCCTCCATAAGGAGGGAATGCCTCAAAAGGTAATTGCAAAAGAAGTTGGATGTTCCCAAAGTGCTGTATCAAAACACATTAATAGAAAGTTATGTGGAAGGGAAAAGTGTGGAAGAAAAAGGTGCACAAGCAGCAGAGATGACCGCAGCCTGGAGAGGATTGTCAGGAAAAGGCCATTCAAAAGTGTTGGGGACTTTCACAAGGAGTGGACTGAGGCTGGAGTCAGTGCATCAAGAGCCACCACACACAGACGGATCCTGGACATGGGCTTCAATTGTCGTATTTCTCTTGTCAACCCGCTCCTGAACAACAAACAACATCAGAAGCGTCTTACCTTTCTTACCTAAAGAAAAACAGACCTGGCCTGTTGCTCAGTGGTCCAAAGTTCTCTTTTCTGATGAGAGCAATTTTTGCATCTCATTTGGAAACCAAGGACCCAGAGTATGGAGGAAGAATGGAGAGGCACACACTGCAAGATGGTCGAAGTCCAGTGTGAAGTTTCCACAGTCTGTGTTGATTTGGGGAGCCATGTCATCTGCTGGTGTTGGTCCACTGTGCTTCATTAAGTCCAGGGTCAACGCAGCCGTCTACCAGGAGATTTAGGAGCACTTCATGCTTCCTTCCGCAGACGAGCTTTATGGGGATGCTGACTTCATTTTCCAACAGGACTTGGCACCTGCCCACACTGCCAAAAGCACCAAAACCTGGTTCAATGAACGTGGGATTACTGTGCTTGATTGGCCAGCAAACTCGTGTGAGATGGGGAAACAGCTTTCATTGTTTAAACACTGATTAAAGTAAATTAAAAGCGTTCTGACTGACATTCTGCAGTTTAGCCACAAGATGTTACTGTTTCTAACACAGCTTCAGACTGCATAGTTATTTCTATATTCAATAAGGGGTGGGGTTTTCTAAAGGAGAAGTGAACAGGAAGAGAAAAGGAGAAGCCATACTGGAGAGAGAGAGAAGAAGGCTGAGTGATGGGATAATCCATTGCCATCCAGCTGTGGAGACTGCCCTCCGTAATCAGAAATCCCATTGAATGAAGCTGATTGTGTTCAAGACGCTAATCCTGTTCAAAGAGGGGAAGATTTGCTGCCAGGAAGCTGATGAGGACAGAGGAGCAAAGCAACATACATTGCTGATAATATTGCATGCTCAGTGGAGAGACATTGTTTTGTTCAGAGTCACCAGCGGATGAAAAGCAGACCCGGGTCGGTAAGATTGTGTACGCACCTCATTTCAGTGTTGGCGCCTATAAGACTGAGACAGGCCTATAGTTAGTTAGTTAGGGTCTCTGTTTGTGTCAGGCCACAAGTGTTATTACTGATCATTAGAAGGATTCCACAACTTAAAGTGACATTTCACATTGGAGAACCAATAAAATCCTACAAACTCAAGCCAGACTGGCATTTTGCTCAGAAGAAATACTCAGACACGTGCTACAGAACCAGTTATGGGAGAGGGAATACTGTAGATTTGTGTAAGATTGTAAGCTGTTGTGCTGCACTGCAGGCTAGCCCATACCATACACCCATACACTGTTCCTGCTCTTTTAGGGTAATAACAGGTAAGGTGTGGCAGCTTAGTTGTGCCCACCAGTAGGTAAATTACTAAACTTTCTACCTTCATCCATCAGAAGGCGCCGTGCTGTGCAACACAAGGGTCTCAGCCTTTGGGCTGGGTGTATGTAAATTTATTGTATGTTCCCAGCATTTGTGGTTGTGTTTATTTGCCACATCTAAGTAAAATTCTGTTGTGGCAAAAGCTGGTGTGGGATTGCTTTCCTCGTTTGTGACTTCACTGTATCCTGGGGAGCCCACCCCGGTACACGGCTTACACTCGCCTGACCTGAACCCCATAGAGAATCTATGGGGCATTGCGAAGAGAAAGATGAGAGACATGAGACCGAACAATGCAGAAGAGCTGAAGACCGCTATTGAAGCATCCTGGTCTTCCATAACACCTCAGCAGTGCCACAGGCTGATAGCTTCCATGCCACACTGCATTGAGGCAGTAATTGCTGCAAAAAGGGCCCAAACCAAGTACTGAGTACATATGCATGCTTATACTTTTCAGAGGTCCGATATTGTTCTATGTACAATCCTTGTTTTATTGATTGCATGTAATATTCTAATTTTCTGAGATTGTGGATTTGGGGTTTTCATGAGCTGTAAGCCATAATCATCACAATTATGACAAATCACGGCTTGAACTATCTTGCTTTGCATGTAATGAGTCTATCTCATATATTAGTTTCATCTTTTAAGTTGCATTACTAAAATAAATGAACTTTTGCACAATATTCTAATTTTTCGAGTTTCACCTGTATATATACAGTATATTCCATCACTTTTAGGCACCCAAAACTTTGTGCAGACCAGAAAGTGGAGATCAGAAAGCTGAGGATGGACCTTGGTTGGGGTTTAGGGTCATGTGACCACCATGACGCGCCGTCACGGCGGTCACATGATCGGGAAAAATCCCGATCGAAAGAGGAGATTGGGACCTTTCCGTGAGTACCGGACATGTGTGCTGGGAGTGTACAGGGCACACGCTCTCGGCACATATGTCCTTTTCTAATTGCACGCAAATGTGCGGCCCCTCTGTGTCTAGTCCCACAGGCTGGGAGGCCGCACACAGTGGGGAGCTGGCTGTGAAGGCGCAAGGAGTTACAGCTGTCTTCCCACAGTAAACAAGCCGGCACTCAGGACCCAAAGACCACCAAAGGATCAGCCCAGGTCTACATAGACAATTTTTTTTTTTTTGGATGTACATACACTTTCATTTCACTGATATCCCCTTTCACATATCCCTAACACTTGGATTCACACTTAACCTGACCCTCACCCTCAACTTAATACATAACCTATCCCCTAAAATGAAACTGACAGAAGTTTTAATTCTTTGTTTAAAAATTGGGCTGTCAGAAAGGCAGAGTCAATTTTATTACAGGCATCTAATTCTTTACCCGTCTTTTCTGACAGCATCATTTTAAGCCCCTGGCCACTGATCCTAATACTATTTGTGCTTTAACCCCTTCCCGCCCCCTCAGATGAGTGGTAACATGTGAACAGCAGAGGCACCAGCCATTGATTTATACAGAGTCAAAATCTGACAGCTGTTCGCATCCAGTGTGTGCAGGCAGTGTTTACAACCACTGGAAAATCTACTGATTCTTCCTGGCGGCTGACCCTGACCACTGCTCTTCAACTGTCTGAATGTACTCTTATAGACAGTGCACTTGTGACATGCAGGATTGGTGAATATGTTAAAGAAAATTATACA